GATGGATCTTTGGGGGATTAAGCTCCCACCACTAACTGTGGATAATGTCCCCTATTGAGGCGTAAAAAGGACTATGGTCCATTGTTTAGGTAGCATAGTTTGAGACTGTTTTTGGCAGTATCAAGCCAAGGGTTGGGTCCTCCTCAACGACCCTTCGAGTGGTCCTTGGGGAGTTGTTCCCATATGTTTCAAACATAAACACATTCGTCTAGATGTTAGGAACATGTCCCATCAATTTGAACTCAAACCGGCACATAAAACATGCCAAGGCACACTAGAACACACAAGAAAGTGTCTAGGCTAACTTTTGAATGTCTTGGATGTTTCTCTTCCAAACTCAACACACTACCTTCTAACACTATAATTAACCTTTTTAAGACCTAATAACTTAATGAAGCACATGTTAGGATTTAATTTCACTTAATTCATTTTATAGGTGTTAAAAATCTAACGATAAACGAACCAATTAATTTTTGTTTATTCAGCACCCCAACCCATCATTCCTTAGATACACCCTAATACTCACACGATTCTTAGTCAAGAGCCTGAAACATCAATATTTGTTTTAATGAATCACTTATGACTCATCTAGACCCTTGACTTGAACTTCATCAGGATCTTCTTTTGCAACAAGTTTCACCATACATTAACATCTTGCATAACTTCAACAACTATGACAACAAATTCGTCATATCAATATTCAAACACACCTTTATTTATAACAAAATCTCCTCATAACATTCAAGAAATTACATCTTTATATTCGCAGTTATTCCAGACAACAAGAAGCACACATTAAAAGTTTCCAAGATACTAAGCAAAGACAAGTCCAAATTCTTAATTAGTACGTTCTATGAAAGACCAATTCTGAACATCTATGCAATTTCTTAACCCGCAGGGACCGATACCAATGTGAACCTTCTAAGTTTCCAATTCGCCTTGCTTGTGGCCCCTTAGTTGTAGCCACGATGTCTGATTTACTCTAATTAGATACCAATTGGAGTCGAAAGATATTAATTGGACCTGATTCATACCACAAGCCACACGTGAACAAAAGGAAAGAACAAGTGGACCAACTTCCTAGAATATTTCCTAGCCACTTTAGATTAGGTGTGGACGTCAACACACCAATCCGTAAGATTCTAGTCCATATTTTGCTATTTTATTGGGATACCAATAACCTGGACCAATTTGTCACGACCCAACCCATTGGATCATGTAGGAACATAGTCTAACACATAAGTAGGAGAATCCTCATATCCCAATAGTCAACGTGCGGAAACTTTAATAAATGGAAATATAATATATTAATGATATTGAAATGATAAGAATTTTTAACACAATTAGGTCAATACTCCTAAAGTAATTAACACCCACAAAGATCTACAAGAACTAGAAAGAGTACAAAACAATACATGATAATGAAAAGACACAACTTCCACCATGCGAAAGGAAAAATAGAAGCTCATGGAGATTTCTTCGTTTTCATCTAATGAGACACTGATCTTGCATCCAAATTGTCAAAAAGACATAGTAAGTGTAGTATTAGTACAAAACCATACGTACTGGTAAGAATTCTCGGTTACGTGATGCCCACTGCATAACATGAGAATTCAACAAATAACAAGATAAAATAAGACCACTCGCTTCTCCAGCGTTACACTTCTCTCGAATACCTCCAAATTACACTAACACCCAAACTACTAACCACCTTCCCAGTCGCTCTACTAATTGGGTTCTTAATCTTAGCCCAAAATCATCCTAACACATACGAGAGTCCACATATACAACTACCAACAATCCAACTGGAAACTCACGACGCACCCTTACTTTCTCTTCCTACGGAACCACTATTACCTCATGGTACACTATATAAGGATTTCCAACTACCAACAACGAATCTCCTTTGTAACCTATGAAAATACCTTGCTCTCTATTTTTATGACCCCTGAACCCCTGGCCTCCCCGATTCGTTCCAACAACAGTATACATAGAGGGTTACACCAACATAGTAGAACAACATAAAAGGGTCATCATATCATATTCAATTCTAAGGAAACAACATCAAGTATTATACGATATATAATTATGTAAATTAGTTGATCCTCTTATGGAAACCAAACCCAAACTGTTAGCATGTCGAAACACGATACCCAATAAAAAATTATGCCAGAACCTGGCAAAAGATCCCATATTATGCCGGAATGTGGCAATTGATCGAAGTTAGTTATGCTGGAATGTGGAAACCGATCCATGAAACACACCACTATCACTATTACAAGTATATCCTCAAATTTATACCATGAAGAAGTGATTCATGAAATATAGTTGTTCGTTCATACTCCTTTACATTGAGTGTGATCAATAATTAAACATTCACATACATAATGCATCATAATGAAGCAAAAACAAGCATACATCACCTATAAGTTACTAATCCACACATTGATGTAATAATTTATTCGACCATACCTAACCCTAGTTCATCATCTAAGGCTTCTTTGTTAGATTTAATCATGTTCCTTTAGGTACATGAAGGCCTACACATAAATTCTACCCAATGATTTACATATATTATGAAATGGAAACAAATTTATAACTAGTTGATTCAAAAAAACTAGCCTACCTTGACGCCATTATTTTGTAGAGAGTTTGCAAATAATTTTCATGTTTCCAGATGACGAGATGATGGATTTGACTAAAAACTTGTAAGGTATCACCATGCCCACGCTAGAGTTCTCTTTACCCTTCTTTCCCAAGTTCAGAGCAGATCTAGGAGGGATTCAAAGGTGTTTTATGACTAATTTAGGTATTTTAGGAAGAAAGTGGGAATAAGAGTTCACGTTATTTACGTTCTGCCTCACCTATACCACTTTGGTGCTAACTTATCCCTTTTTGGCACCGCCTCCCTAGTGGAATGAAGTTCTGAATTTTTGTTTTTTAAGAATAATAATGGTCTGGGTCGTTATAAGAACTCTTGGAAGCGCAAAAGAACTATATCACCCTTGAATTTAAAGCGATCACTGCTCTTCTAAACCATTTCTTTCAATAGCCACCTGAAGATGTCGTATACTCAACAAAGATAGAGCAAGTGCAATATCAGTACACAACTACACTGAACTAGCAGGATCACCAACCTCAAAACAAGCATGAAACCCTTAAGAAAGTTGATATTTCCCTTTCTAGATTCATAATAACAGGGGAATCAATAAAACATCACTAAAAATTCTATGAACCGTTGATCAAACCCATGATCCGAATCTCAAAATTAGAGCCATTTCCCCATAATTTCCTGATAGAAATCCTACCACATTGATAATTACTCAATAGATTACGTTCTATGGATCGAAAAATGGATTCACAGAGTTAAAATCTTAGCTTTAGCCTCAATAATGGTTATAACTACGAAGAAAAAACCTGAGTTCGTCCCTTAGCTATCAAGTTAGAAAATTGTAGTATAACATATTTTTAAGGATTTATTTACGACTTTAGGTCGTGTAAGGCCCGCCACAGCGGCCTCACCCTAGCAAAATAATTCACGACACAAGCGGCTTGCACGAAATAGTGAGATACTTTAATAAATCCAATAACCCTATTTCATAATACACCTTTGACAAACGACACTTACAAATGACATGTTCATGCTAAGATCAATTTCGAGAGTTCTACCCGCCTGAATTGAATTCCATATAGTTGTGTGAGTTCCTTAATGACTTGTGTATATACTCATGTGATCAAATTCATAATTAAATCACCCGATTGTTACCAGATTTCCCTAAACCTTAATGATTTTGATTTCATCCAAATCTAGCATAGGTTGGAAAATTCCAAGTTACTACAAAAAGGTTTCCTGACCCAAAGTTTTTTCATGCTGATTTTTCTATAACGACGACGCCCGATCATTACATTGTTTTAGAGGCTCCATTAGACACAATTATGATTCATAATTGTTAGCAGTCTTAGTTTATTTCATACTAAACCTCAGATGTTAGTGTTCTTTAGTTATAAAAGATTACATCATTATTTTTAATATAAACTATAGCTTCCCAATTAATTCGTGTTTAATTACGTTCAAGGGTTCCTTTGGGCCAGAAATGGTTTAGAGTGCAGGCTACGTTCAGGTTTTTATTACATCTTCTTATAATGAGTTATTCTTTTTCCTTTTTATTGTATGATACCTACAACAATTATTATTGGTTCAAAGCTAACCTACTAACGGTTAGGCTTACCTACTAGTACGTAGGTATCATCATTACCGTTGATTTTGAAATCATGATTTGTTATATATATATATATATATATATATATAATAATGCTTTTTTGTAGCCTTTATAATACTGCTTTTTGGTAGCCTTTATAATAATGCTTTTATAATAATGCTTTTTTGTAGGCCTATTTGACTAAAATGAAAGAGATTATAACCAAAGGTATAGATATAATGGTAGATGAGATGTAGCGTTGAATCCCAATATGGTAGTAGATTTGACAGTAAATATTTTTGGTTGACTAAAAATTTAGCTTGTTGACCCAAAAAAAATCTACATGATTAACCCTACTTAGAAAAACAATTATTAAAATTTAAATTTATAATTATTTATTAAAATAATTTGTTACTGTTAGAATATATACAAATCCAATTGATCGAATAAAAATTGAGCAATAAAATTAATTTATTACCATTTTTAACCTACACGAATCTTACAAAAATAATTGAATTTTCATTACAATATGAAATTCAGATATTATATTCGATATGAATTTAATGAAGACATCTATTTAAAGAGGAGTTTTCCTCTTTTAAGAAGCAAATTATATACAACACAAACTAAATCACTTTTCTTTGTTATTAACCTAGTCGAAATTTTCTTTAACAATGAATTTTTCAAATGAGAAGATGACCAAGTGAGTTTCTATTCGATGTTATTTATATATTTTTTATGTTTTGTTTGTTTTTGTAGATTTCATGATATATTTATGGTTCTTCTAATTTCTAGTGAATGGATCAAGAAAGGATTCAAAAATCTTGAAAATAAAAGAAAAACACTTGTCTTCAATTATGAATTCCAAAGTAAACTGATAGAGAGAAACAAAACTTGCTCTGCCACTGCTGAAGAAGAACAACAGAAGCTTCATTATGAGTTCCGTAAAGATTGCGACCGATTGGAGGGGGGGGTAAATTTACATTTCAGCAAATATTCGTTTATGAAATTTTTTGTGTTAATTTATTAGTAACTTTATCTGGCCTTTTCATTCGCAGTATGCTAAGTGGTTACCCATTGTGGAAAGATTGAACAAAAGAGCTAAAAGAAATTAGTGTTGGTCATAGAAATGTTTTATGAGATTGCATATTACATGCTTCTTTCTTTATTATGAAGGGACAAAGATTTGGTATTATTAAAAAAATTGTATTGTTCTCTTTAGAAATTCTGGTTATTAGTGAAATAAATCTTAGATTGTGAGTGGATTATGCGTATATATGTTGTTTTTTAAACAACAAATAGTAGTAGATGATTACAAATGGAAAACAAATCCTGGAAGAGATTGATCAATCTTTTCATTGCAAATTTATCCTAACCCTATGATATTATTTCTGTATTCATAATTTTCAATGTCCAAAGCGTTCAGTGCTAACTACTTAAAGTGTAAACTCACTAAAAGGATACTTTTAGTCTACCTCAAATTATTGTTACTATACACAAAAGACAACAAATAAAAGTCATTAATCAAAATATATTTAGATAATCAATTTCGAGTTTTTACTGATTGAATATAAAAATTGTACATTCTCCTGTTAATTTATAGAATAAGTTTAATGTATCGAGAAATATACTTTAAAGTTTATCTACAAAGAACTTTAATCTTAATGGATTCACAAAATCCCATTATATATTTCATGATTTGAGCAAAGTAAACATTTTTTTCTTACATAAATAATTAACAAATTTAATCTATTAGATTGGGGAACTGTAATTTTTTCTTTTTTGCCAAGACTAAAAAATTCATACCAAATATCATAAATCACAATGTTAAAAACTGCATGGATCAAACATACTGAGCACTGCATGTTTATTTTTTTAAAGCTATGTAATATAATGTATGAACTCAAAAGTTTAAAGAAAAGTTTGTCTATATGCTCATTTTTAATGATTTTCTCTAACCGCTTTCTCCAACCCATTTATAATCTTTGTTTATTTTTCTTTTCATTTCTTTTGGATTTATTTTCGACTCAAACCCCCTTTGATGAAATATATTGATAAGAAGTTAATTATTTTTATTACAAAATTTTTTGTTTATTTTAATATTAAAAGGAGGTAATTGATATAGATTTTTGCATCAGAAATTGACTTTATTGTTCATTACTTGTTTATTTATATCTTGTTCTATTTTTCTCGAAGTCATGATTTTTATATAATAATAATAAATTTATTGGATCAAATTCTTTTCAAGCCATGGTAACATGGTTAATTTACTATTCACTTATTGTCTTTATTTAACCTTGTAATCATTTAAAATTTATTAAACATAAATTTATAAAATGATCCGGATTATATTGAATTCATAAATATCTGAATCCAAATAAATATTGTGGATTGATATAATTGAGTTAAATATTTAAGTCCAATAAATATTAATTAAATTAAAGTCTAAATTAATTGATTTGGGCTACATTGGATGAGCCCAATTTGTTAAACTCAATCTCATCTCATTCTAGAGCCCATCTCGGCGCCACGTGTGCAGATGATGTGGCATGCCAAGTTAAATAAGAAAACCAATAGAATCATGACATGTGTCAAAGATGACAAGCCCGCTCCATAAAGCTCAAATGCCATGTCACTTAAATCTGATTGGCTGAACAGAATCCTATTACAATCGCAACTCCTCTATTCTAAAACTATAAATAGATGTCCTCATAATTCAGAAAAGGGACAGGAAATTCTAAACAAGAAGCTAGAGAAACTCTGTGGTACAAACACCATTTAATTCTCTATAAAGCTACAAGTTTAAGAATTCAAACATTCAAGTTCAAGAACGATCAAGATCAAGACCACCGAATTCAAGAACAAACTCGAAGCCCTTGAATTCAAATAAAAGTCAAGATCAAGATAAAGTTCAATTTCAAGTTCATCATAGATTCAAGAACAAGCTTTAAAGCCCTTGAATTTATATTTGAAAAGGCGAATTTAGAGGAATTATAGAGATTTTAACACTCACATTTGAAATGATAAAATTGATTGTTGCTATAATTTTCCGTTCTTGATTATTGTTTTCTCGACGCGAATTTTATTATCTACAAACCTATTTAGATAATTAAAGAGTATTAATTTGATGATCGGAGAATTTTATTTCTATATTTTTATACTATTAATTTCTCGGTTAATAGCGTCTATAATATTTCTCAGCATGCACCCAAGAGTTTGAGATATATGTGATTTTAACATCCTTACAACATTTTTAGAATTTTATAAGAAGACTCTAAATTACTTAAGATTTGATTATGAACTAATAAGGGATGTGATTTGTTTTTTCTAATTATGTATCTTATTTTATTATGTTTAGTTGTATGTGATTGCATTGCAATCGTATTTCCTCCATGTTATAGATGATACTAATCGACTTAAGACATTCACATATCTAACTTCATCAAATATAAGAAAATAAAAAAAATGTTTGATATAATAATGTAAAACATGTAAAAAAGTAAAAGTCAATTTTACTAACTATATTATCAAACCTTCATTGATAATGTTTAATCGTTTAAACTATATTTACAATATCATATTTTATTATATTAATCCATGGATCTTTTTTACATGAGACACCAAGAAAACGCTCATAAGTTTATCATTCATCCAATTTTACATGTCATTTTAAATAAACTTCATTCTCCCAAATGGACTTTCCAATGATACATTAAAAACTAGTAGAAGAAACAAATTTAACCAACCGAAATAGTATAAAAAATTAAGTTTTTCTTTGTTTGAAACAATTTTCATGAGGGGTCATAGAGTCTATTTAGATTAGAAAATAATCACATACATCTATTATGTAAGTCACGTGTTCTCTTACGATAACATTCTGATGTTCTGGCCTTAGACGACATATTTGGTGCTCTTAACTATGAATAAATATAAATTCTTAGAAAATGATAGTGCATTTAATGAATTTCTAATATGATGGATGGGAAATTTAAAAAAGGGAAAGGAATTAAAATGAAGCTAAAAACATGCAAAAGTAAATCCATGACGGAAGCCTAGACGGATTGTCACATGTAGACAGATCGTCAGACCATCGTTAAGGGCAATCATACAAAGCTACTCACTCATGATTACATAAAAATGCAATGGACCATCACACCTATGATGTACCATAAGATTAAACGCGAGACAAACATCGGAGGAACCGTTTTTTATTTTTTAATTCCAAATTTCATGTAATTATAATAGTATTTTCTAGGGTTTAGGGTTTTGTATCTTTAGTTTTTAGTGAAGAAAACAGTAATCTTCATTGAAAGTTTATTCAGGGATATTTTTAATCTTTTCTGATGATTCTTTTTTGATACTTTATATTTATATGCGTACTTCCTACTCTTGTTAGTGCCTAGAACTTACAAAAAACACACAAAAATCTATTAGTAAGGTGAGTTTCCTCCCACAAAGTGTTTCTTTTCTCTTGGCGTGACTCTTTTTAAATATTTTTAGGTGGCGTATATGATATCAGAAAGTTCTTGGAATCCTCTTGCCAACGCCACTATGTTTGCTTATTTTTGAGCCCGTACGAGGAAGATATGACTATTCAATGTCAAACTATTCAGTTAAGGAAATTTACCCAAAAATGTTAGGCGTATATTAGTATCTTCCTTACCCAAACAGAATAAAAAGTGTTTTGTAATAATTTAAGGTCAAATCCAATCTCGCTCAATTTTACAAATCTTAAATTACAGTTAGGATTTAGAAGAGCAGCGAAAAGAGGAGAAAAGATATAAAGTAAAATTTTAGAGGTTTTATGTGAATCGAGAATTTATTTTATGAAACCGAGGTATGTATGTTTTTTTAATGTTGGGTTCATTCACCCATACACCGATCATGATTTAATATTCGAATTTGTCTATAAAGATCAAGAGATTTAGGTTCTTGAAGTATTACTTTCATTCTTGAAATAGGATCGGTTTGATGAGTTCTTGAGGTATTTGTATTGAGTTTAAGAGTTGTTTTTTGGTATATTAATGTGTACTTATATTGCATTATTAAATCTACGAAAAACTTGAGGAAATAAATCTGTTGTAGTCAAATTAAGGTTAGAAAATTGGAACAGAATTTCATTAGAAAGTCCTAATGTGTGTGTGGGGGGAGGGGGGAGGGGGGGGGGGTTAGGCGACGCGTGCCATAGAGGTTGGACCGGATCCCCATAAGTGCACAAATTATTCTTCAAAATTTATGTGTTGGCGCCCTGTGCCTGCAGTGTGCTAGGGTCGCACGCCCCCACCTTTTTCGTCGCTTTACCCATCTAACTCCTTTTAAAGTTAACCTTTACTTCCTACTGATTCTAACTAATCTAAAATACATGTAAAAATCAACCGATCATTCATAACATGAATCACAAACCTTGAATCCATAATTCAAATTCAAGGAGAGAGTTAAGAGTCAATTATTCAAAGTTCTTCGAGTCATTTTATGAAGTCGTTTTTAAATCTTTTAAACTTGTTTTAAGATTTGACCATTTGAGTTTTGGGAAGTGTATACATGACTTTATTTAAATTATAATGATATATGGAACCAAGTATTCCCAAGAGAAATTTTTTTACATTAAGAAGGAGAGCAAACATCAATTTCCAAAAGAGTTCATGAGTAATATTTAATTTAAGAGAAAACCATTTGAGTAATGATCTGATTGTTGAGGAAAAGGAATTTTTTTTTAAAAAAAATAAAATGTATGATCTAAGTTATATTTTAGGAGTAAAATTTAGTATCAATATGGGAAAGAATTCTAACAACTCACATCCCCCATAAACCATGTAGCCAACATGGTAGAACATCCTTATTAATTTTTTGCATAGACTAGTGGATTCACATAATTGAGGAGTTCAAAACCTCGGTTAAGTGTAGAAAAATTCTGGAAGTGCGGGAGACTCTGTATCATCATATAGCTCATACTTATGGTTTTTGGTTAGAGAATCGTCCCAACAGAGTTTAATTTGTACTGAAGCATACAAACCAAGTTATTATATTCGCCAATAGATTGAGTTATTATCTACTGTTTTAAAAGATTCACATTATAATGCATTCTTGTTATTACTTTATATTGAATTGATTTGAGGTTAAGTTGAGTTTAGACGAGGTAAGTTGTTTCTTCAGTTCCAGTTCAAGCTTATGTCATGTTTTAGGTTTCCTACATGATTATACATTTCATTTATTGCATCATTTGGCCTCCATCTCTTATGATGCAGATATAGGTAAGAAAA